GTCTATGCTAGGCAGTTTTTACTTTTCGATTACCGTGACAACCTCCAGTGAAGTTGTAGATTGGGTGGTGGCCACGTTCAATAGTTTACGTATGCTGGATATGGAGCATGTCCTCATATGCTGCACTTTTTGGTTCCAAGAGGAAGATGTATTGATCAGGGTTATCGTTTATTTCGATGATGAGTCAAATGCGATTAGGTTCTTCGTAAGGCGGGACTAGATTCTTAAGGGTTTATAATATTGAGATAAGAATAAGGTTATGATCGCTATTCTGATAGGTTCGATAGATTTGATCCGGACCTGTTTCTTTCTTTCTATTGTTTATCGTCTCCCTACGACGCTCTTCAGTTCTGGGTATAGTCTCGCTTTCTGTCGTCAAGTCAGTTATCTATCTTTGGGAACGTATTGCTGGGCGGTGTTAGCTTCGGTACAAATCCAATGGTTGCGCAGGGTTCCAAATGCTTCAACTGTGGTGGCAAAGGCCACTTTGCACGTGAATGCCCTTCGAACCGATCGACTGCTGCTCCTGGGGATGGGAATGGCGTTAGTAATGCTACTACACCGGCGCGCTATTGGACGCCCCGACGGAACTATAATGAGGATGCTGAGGAGAATGAGTTCTTACGTCAGGTCATCCAAGAGAAGAGGGACGAACAAGCGAAGAAGACGGAGTTCGAGGAGAAGAGGAATATGGATGAGATGATTAGATTGGAGATCAAGAGGAACTCGAAGGCGGTAGAAGCGAGGGTCATGTCCAAAATTGGGCGACTGTTTCTGGAAGCTTGGGAAGAGACGAGGAGAGATGAAGTGAGGGTCACTCGTACACTTGTACCAATTTACAGAGATACGGGGGTCAAGAAGTATGCGGATAAAGGGTTGGAAGAGATCGAGGATAAGATTGCAAAACTGTATGAATTGCGGGAGAAGAAACAGAAGGGTAAGGTCCCATTACAGGAAGGGATGCAAAAGCCTTTTAGACAACCAAATTTCCAACGTGAAGCAACTTATGATTTTGAAGCTGGGGAATCCTCTCGCATGGCTGAAGAGCGATCATGTACCAAGGTATGTGCTGGCAATGGTCCCGAGGGTGTACTGGCATTCGTGCAAGCACAGCGCCGGATTCTTACCTAGAAGACCAAGGATCAGTTGAAACATGTCTGTTGAACTGAAGGGATAACTTACACAACCAAAGGCCCCACTATCGACCGGATCATTGAAGCCATGACGAAACTTGCTTATGAAGGTTTTATCTTCGTTCCCTCTCCTTCACCAGCGGTAAGTCAGGAAGACGAAAGGACGCCATGCAAATGATTGTTTGATTGTTTCCGATTACGGTTGTGGGAAAATTTGATCGTTTACCTGTGTCTACGTTGCTCGGCTTGGTTGTTAGGTGCCTSTGCGCGTCTCAGGTCGTCGTATGATGTTTGTGCTACTTTGCTTATGGTAACGCTCTCCCTTTTGGACGAGATCCGCTGGGTTAGTAAGTTTAAGTCGCTTCTGTTGTCAATTGACTGGGATGCATGGAGGACTCGCCCGGTGATGTATGTACTTACGCCGCCCTGGTGCAAACCTCAATACATAGAATGTTCGGAGAGAGGTATTTTTATCAGATGGGGTGAGCATGTGCGTACTGTACGGACTAGGGGTACGGGTGTATGTCCGCAACTTTACAAATGGTTGTCGTCTTTTGSCGTCTATCATTATATACCTTTGTCGTTGGTTAACGGGGTATTATCGGTGGATAAAGCTGATAAACTTTTGATTAGAAATTTCTCGCCTTCGCTTAACTATCGGCGGGTATTGCAACAGGCTAGACCTTCTAGTTGACCCTGCCGTACCAAGAGGGTGGGCTTGGAACTACGACCAATTGTTTTCTCTGTTCTGAAGTTTCGAGTGCATGATGGCGAGTGGACAACTAGTTTCATTAATCTGTTGAAAAGGGCTTGTAGTTCTGGCCTTAAGGATTTTACGATCCATGTTGCACCTGGCAATCGTTGGACGGATTCTTGGTATGTGGTACATCGAATTTTCGGCCTAACTACAACTTTTGTTGGCAACCAATATTTTCTTCTCAAAGATCTCAAGCAGGAGTTCCAACTGGGGGGCGAATGGCTTATTGGTTCGCTACGGCTGACCCCTACTGGTAGGAGTGTCTGCAAATTGCATTTGGCATGTATGTTGGCACAACCCTAGACTCGGAAATTCCTTAGGTTCAGAAGTATTGATTGTTTGGTCCGATGGTTTCAGGCGGTGCACTGTTTTTCGGCTAAAGATACCCGTACACGCCTCCGAGGCATTTTGGCTAGTGGTCTTAAACTTCGGATAGGTATCGATGTTCGGAGAAGGATTCTTGTATGGCTCTTTTATGATCATTGCGTATCGTCCTTTGTTGTGCACTCTTTGATGCTGAAAGTTCTTGAATTCTTGGTTTTTCCTGAATCTGCACGTAATCTACTCAAACGAAAGATGAGGTTTGTTTGGCAAAAAAATGTGGCGATGTTGGGTGATATTTGGTCTTTTAAGAGGTTCTTCGTTTCTGGAGGTCGGACACCCTGTCGGTGTCACCTTGAGCCAAACTGGGAACGTTTGGGGTTTCATGTCAAGACCCGGATTGGCCAGATTCCTGGGGTGGCTGTGCTACTATTCAATTCCAGGAATATACCGCGTTTCCGACCTATCGCGGGTACAGTTGAGCTGGGTAGACAACTTGTTTCAATTGCTTCCTACCTTAGATCTTCCTGGGAACTTGATAGGGAAGCTTTATTGACATGCTGGTCGACTGAGGAGGATCGTCACCCTCCGGAGGAAGTGCTAAGTTAGCGGAACTGGGATGCTAGATTGCGTAGTTTTGCATGTGTCCCCGTGGATCGAAACGTCTCGGATACATTGGTTATTTGCCCAGTGTTAAATGAACACTCTTTGCGAATGACGTTCAATTGAAATTTGTCTTTCAGAGCGTCGGAGATCGGAGAAGCTCCGGTATTAACTACTATGAAATTGAGGTTCCAGTCTGWAGGTCTATCGAGCTTAGGTAAATGGGATTGAGTTGGGTGTTTTGGCAACGCTTATGTTTTACCTAAGCATAAGGACTTGTCACGTTGGCACCCGATTTCGCCGATTTGTAATGAGCCAACTAGATTGGCAAGTGGCCGTGTGGCACGTGCTTTGAATTGTTTGTTGTTTACTCTTCCCCTTCACTCGTGCTTCAATCTCAAAGTTATTTCTGATGTCATCCGAGGACTCTCTCGAATGGACCGTAATTTACGTGGTCTGACCGGGTACCGGTACATGCTATCTGCCTATTTCGCTATTAAAGACATGTTAGTGTCTTTGCCACATGTGGATATCTCTCGTCCGTTGAGTGGTTGCTTGATTATTTTGACAGCAAAGGTTGCCGCGGGGTAAATTTGGCGAGGAGAGGTAAGAAGGTTTGGCTAACTTTCGAAGAAAGAAGGATTAATGTATCTTTGTCTCTTCTGACAATATCCGGGATATGAAAGCCTTCGACCTTCGTTTCTCTTACATTAATTCAGCAGGGGAGTTACTTCAACAAGTGATTAGCATACCTATGGGGAAAGCTTCGAGATGCCCTCTTGCTTGTATTATGTGCTCCTTCGCCAAGTTTAAGTTTTTGAATAGCTTGGGGGCTAATCAGGCCCTCTTCGAAGGTTTCCGGATAGTTAATGATGTTACGGTATTCATAATAGTCACTTCCGACTGTGATGAACAGATGGCGTGCCTTTTACCTCATCGTTTCGCCCAGTGTTACGCGTCGGTTTTGCGTCTCGTCCGAACGGATATGTCGCAGGATATTTTGTCCTTTGCAGGGGTGCACATTCATCGGGTTGGGACTTCAATGAGGACAGTCGCAATTTTAAAGAATATGCCTTTTATTTGGCATGAGGGGCGTTTGGTGTTTGGTTGTTTTCGGGACTATGGCTCCTATTCAGCTAAAACGGTCAAAATCGGGGCAATTTTGAGTACCCTCCACAGGGTTTTTGCATTGACACCCGATTACTGGGGGCGCCATGAGTTGCTACTTGCAATCAGGAGAGAGTTACTTATGCGCTCCTACCCGACCCGCCTTGTTGATTCCACTTTCTGGCGTTTTGGCAGGAAATTGGGTGGTGATTGAAGCCTGTGTTTCAGCTAGGGCTTGGTAGGCTTACTAAGCAACAACTATGACACTTGCTTCTAGTTTTAGGTAGGGTCGTAGTCTGATTACCCGTTTCTTATGACTAAGCTAGCAGGATGCGAAGGCCTCTTGTTTTTCGAGAGGCACCTCCGCGCCTACAAAAGGATGTCACATTGTTTTGCGGGTTGCGCCGCTACGGATGTCTAAGATAATAGGGTACGTTGGGTTTCTTGGCCTTTTCCAAGACTGAAATGACTTTACTGATCGATCAGATAGATGCTAGATTCCCTTATGGCCACCCCTGGGCCTCCCCTGGGCCCAACGTGCGTACAGTTACAAGGGCTTCTACTTTACCTGGCAGAGATTTAAGTGCCATTCCCTGCGACGTCTGCCTCTCATTGTGCTTTTGAGATCGTGTCGAGACGGTTGCGTTATGCGCATACGATTTCGATGCTCCGAGATCTGACCGAGTCTCCCGTCGGCAGTTTTCCTTCTGCCATCTTTGGGGCTTGTGACACCCTGGTCCATTCGGGTACGAGGAGGCTTTCGTAGTGCGGCCAAGACGGACTGCTTCGACTTCGAGAGAGAGGGAGCGAGGAGTGTCGGTTTCGTCTGCTTGTGTTCTCTCTGTGCGTTTTTTTTTGTGTGTTTGTCTGTGTGCAGGTCTTCAAGCGGTGGGCGATGTCTGCTGTCGACATGCATGACTTCTCGGACATGTGTGCTGTTCAAGAAACTATCGTGAGGAATGGGTTGCCGCCACATTGGATGTACAATAATGTTAACGGGATTTCAACCATAGTTATATTATCTAGGATGGGGATTTTATTTTTTGTGGCAATGATGCCTAATAAACTAGGGTTGGGCGATCTACGTTTAATAGGCATCAGCGAGCGACGGGGGGTAGGATAGTATAAAAGAGGCAAGGCAATTGGAATGGCCTCAGGTTTTTGAGAGATCTGATTTGAGGGGTTTTCCTCCTGAAGAGTCTATATACGCGGGATAGACGAAATGTGTCGAGGGTTGGCCGCGTGATGGTGTTTGTATCGTGATTTTGCTGAGAATCTTTTCTCCTGATTGGTGTGTGTGACAACTCGTTTTCTGTTGGAGTATATTCAGATGTCGTCCTCATGCTTATGCTGTTTATGTCGGGCAGTCTTTACTTTTCGATTACCGTGACAACCTCTAGTGAAGTTGTACATTGGGTGGTGGCCACGTTCAATAATTTATGTATGCTGAATATGGAGCATGTCCTCATATGCTGCACTTTTTGGTTCCAAGAGGAAGATGTATTGATTAGGGTTATCGTTTATTTCGATGATGAGTCAAATTCGATTAGGTTCTTTGTAAGGCAGGACTAGATTCTTCAGGGTTTATAATATTGAGATAAGAATAAGGTTATGATTGCTATTCTGATAGGTTCGATACATTCGATCCGGACCTGTTTCTTTCCTTCTATTGTTGATCGTCTCCCTACGGCGCTCTTCAGTTCTGGGTATAGTCTCGCTTTCTGTCGTGAGGTCGATTATCTATCTTTGGGAATGTATTGCTGGGCGTTGTTAGCTTTGGTACAGTTCCAATGGCTGCGCAGGGTTCCAAATGCTTCAACTCGGGTGGCGAAGGCCACTTTGCACGAGAGTGCCCTTCGAACCGATCGACTTTTGCTCATGGGGATGGGAATGGCGTTAGTAATGCTACTACACTGGCGCGTTATTCGACGCCCCGACGGAACTATAATGAGGATGCTGAGGAGAATGAGTTCTTACGTCAGCTCATCCAAGAGAAGAGGGAGGAACAAGCGAAGAAGAGGGAGTTCGAGGAGAAGAGGAAGATGGATGAGATAATTAGATTGGAGATCGAGAGGAACTCGGAGGCGGTAGAAGCGAGGGTCATGTCCAAGATTGGGCGACGGTTTCTGGAAGCTTGGGAGGAGGCGAGGAGAGATGAAGTGAGGGTGACTCGTACACCAGTACGAGTTTATAGAGATACGGGGGTTAAGGAGTATGCGGATAAAGGGTTGGAAGAGATCAAGGATGAGATTGCAAAACTGTATGAATGGCGGGAGAAGAAAGAGAAGGGTAAGATCCCATTAGAGGAAGGGATGCAGAAGCCTTTTAGACAACCGAATTTCCAACGTGAAGCAACTGATGATTTTGAAGCTGGGGAATCCTCTCGCATGGCTGAAGAGCAATCACGTACCAAGGTATGTGCTGGCAATGGTCCCGAGGGTGTACTGGCGTTCGTGCAAGCACAGCGCCGGATTCTTACCTAGAAGACCAAGGATCAGTTGAAACATGTCTACCGAACTGAAGGGATAACTTACACAACCAAAGGCCCCACTATCGAGCGGATCATTGAAGCCAGGATGAAATTTGTTTATGAACGTTTTGTCTTCGTTCCTTCCCCTTCACCGGCGGTAAGTCGGGAAGTCGAAAGGACGCCATGCAAATGATTGTTTGATTGTTTTCGATTACGGTTGTGGGAAAATTTGATCGTTTACCTGCGTCTACGTTGCTCGGCTTGGTTGTTAGGTGCCTGTGCGCGTCTCAGGTCGTCGTATGATGTTTGTGCTACTTTGCTTATGGTAACGCTCTCCCTTTTGGACGAGATCCGCTGGGTTAGTAAGTTTAAGT